GAGAGAGAGAGAGAAAGAGAAGGTGGTTACAAAGTCTCTGTAAAGGCCGAGCAAGCAACATTCCAAAGAAAAAATTGGGCATTGAGGAGGGCAAGAGAGAAGAAGCAGTCAAACCTTGTTTAGAGGCCAGCACAAAGTTGGTTACTAGAGAGAGAGCATACCTCAGAGAATAACGCTTTAACTCGTCCTGACCACAGTAGGAGGAGAGAAGATGGAGAGAGAGAGAGGGGTGAACTGTTCCAAGGGATGAATCTATTATTTATAATGAAAAAACAGGGCCAACTTTAATCCAGCGATTTCCCCATTTAATAACCTCTTTTAATATAAAATTAATTTCATTTAGATTTTAGATTTGTCCAACGATCACTATATTATGCTCCCGTGGGAGCATTACCATGTATCTATTCCCTCAGTTAATCTAATGTTTTCCAAAAAAAACCTAAAACTCAATTGGTATGATTATTTTTTAAAAGAAAAATTATAAATTTTGAAGCTCCTAAAATCACTGGGGTAAACCCAAGGGAGCAGATAGACAGTAAACAGAATGCTCCCGCAAGAGCAATAAAATCCGTTGGATTTTATATGGGTTGATTAGATTGCGTTTGGGAGTAAGTTTTCGAGGTTTTGTAAAAGAAAGGAGATGTGTAACCATTGGCTACAATTCGTATCACGCAATGCGTTATTGCGGGGCGCCCTCCCTGCCACGGATCCGCATCCAAGGCACCGATAACCGTGGCGTGGAGAGATGCTGCCCTTTTACTCATAAAATTAAAGAACGACTCCACTTTTTTTTTCCCTTTTTTTTTTTTTTTTTTGACAAATAACTACTCCACATTAGCCACCACTTTTAAATGATTTACTATGATACCCTCATTTCAATAAATGCTAAAAAAAACCTCAACACCAGAGAAAAATAAAAAAATAAAATAAATAGAGAGAGTAAAATGAGTCTCTGGGAAAATGATTCTATATTATGTGTGGTTTCTATGAGGTTGCAACCTTAAAAAATCTAATTAATGCGTTTTTTAAAATTTTATCATGACATGTAATTTTTGCGTAAATTTTTTAAAAAATTATATCAAAATATAATTTTATATCTAATTATACAATTTTAAACTCAAAAAATAGTTAAAATCAAGTAGATCTATTTGAAAATCTTGAAAATGGAGGGTCAAGATAAGGTGTTGCAAGATGCACTATTTTTGGGACTCAAAATTTTTTTTTATTCATAGTCATACATCTCGTTCTTGAGATGATCAATTAGAGGGTTTTTCAAAATTAAAACAACATTTTCCTATGGATTCTTGAGGTGCATCTATAATTCTACATTTTAAGGTTACAACTTTATATAAACTTCTTTTTTCTATATTTCTTCTACTGTACATAAGTTATATACTTATCCAATCTAACATTTTAATTTAGATTAATTAAGTCAATGGACCGTTTGATCTAAAGATTCGATGCCTCATAGTATTTTATTTTTTAGTTTTTATTTTAAAAACTATGTGAATAAAAAATTTGTACTTACAATCATCTCAATGGGGCGTAAAGGGTACCTAAACAAATTATTAAAAGTTTTTTATTAAATAAAATAACCAAATTATCTCTAAAAATTTTAGAGATATTTTAGTTATGTTATTTTATCTTTTTTATATTTTTTACAACCCTGATCTTTCTTTTCCTTTCCTAGGAATAGGACGATTGATATTCGGACTTCTTTCTCATTTCCTTTCACATTGGGGGCTGTTGGTATTCGGGCTTCTTTCTCATTTATTTTCTCATTACCGTCGATTAACCCATAAAATTATAATAAATTATAGGGCAATGATTTAATGCAACAGTCGTATCATGGTATAATGCAACGACACTTTTAGAAAAACCATATTTGTGGTATTTGTATGATCCAAAATTTTATACGCACTCTCCCTTCATCATAATACTCAATCACAAAAAAAAAAATCAATTTATACTTAGATACGGTCAAAATGAGTTCCCTTCAAAAACGAATCTAGACCATTCATTTGGTGAATTTCAAGATCTTAGCCGTCATAAACTCAAAATCAATTTTTTTTTTTTTTACATTTTTTATCTAATGGTAATAAAATCATCCAAAAAAATTGAAAATGAAAAAATTCTTCTAAAGCCTAGATTTAGGCATCTCACTAAAATAAACGGCCAATGTTAATTGGGCTAAAAAATACTTTTTAGGTTGTGTTTTCAAATTTTTCTTTTCTATGATTGTTTATTAGAATAAAAAGAGTATATTTCAAAATTTGAATCAAACAAATGACCGTAACATGATTTTTGAAACTTGTTGCGTCGTATTACTATTCAACAGTTGCATAAAATCAATTTCCTAAGATATATATTAATTTTTTGAAAACAAGGGGCATTATGATATTATCCCTCAAATTAGAAGCATTTTAAAGGCTTCTCATGTATCGGATTTCAAGAAAGCCCCTCCCATAACGAAAGAGAACCCAACTTCCAATAAACAAAGGAAAGAAAACGCTTCATTCCACTTGTTCTTATTAATTTATTATTCTTTTGGGATCAATAATTTGATTTTGAGTATTAACATGGATTACGGGTACCCACTAAATATTATGTATGGAGAAAAATGCAGAGAATTGACCTCGGCTTTTGCGCACTTGACTTTTGGCAATGTGGAAACGCCCCTAGAATAAAACTTTTCCCTAATTAACCATATTCCTTGGTTTTGATGTAAAATTTATTGAATCACAAGAATACGCATGTGACTGCATATTCACTCGTATTTAATTTTTCTTTCTTTTTCTACATTGACTATACTAGCATGTGAGATTAACAAAAATGGTAATTATTAAATTGAAAAATAAAAATAAAAATTTAAATTGATGATTACTTCTAAAGCAAAAAGTAAAATAAAAGATAAAAAAAGTAGTACGTTACTTAGAAAGCATTAGTAACAATATACACCAATAGTAGGGATCTAGTGTATATATTTATGCATGTGCATGTAGGCATGTGTATATATCTTACTTACAGTGTGAAAACTTTTTTCACGCATATTTTAGGAGGCTAATATGGTAGTTGCTATTCTTGTTAAGAGAGCTGACTTTCTCTAATGCCACCATTTGACATGTAAGACTTGCCAGATTTTTTTACCCATCATTTACTTCTTGATATTGCACAAGTTCTTCTTGTAAATATATATATATATATGACAAATTTCTCAAAATACTCTTCTTATACATATTTACATACACACACGAGATATACAAAGGATGATTCTTTGGCAGCCAATGCACTATTGAAGTGCAACCTCGTTCCAAAATTTCATCAAGTGATGCACTTTGGATCTATCCTTTGAAAAATCTAAAACAACCACGAAGATGAATCTAAAATAAAAATATTTTAAATTTTAACAGAGAAAAAAAAAAAATTCGAGACATTACTTTTGGATCATTTTTTAAATATTTATTTTGCTTATTTTAAGATGAGAGCAACAATGCTGGATGGGGGCAGTTCGGTGATTTACCGGGAACGCCAAGGACATCTTGGTACTTTTTCGTATTAACCAAAAATTTATTTTTAAATATTTTTTTTTCTATTTATTTGGGCCGTATAGTTCCAAGTCCAACTCAAAAGAGATAGCTCGAGTTGAAGGGAAAGGCGTGCGTCTATCGCACGTTACGAAGTTAAGAGTACGCATGGTTGACACGTGGAATACCAGTCAACGCACACGTGGACCAAGGGTCTACCACAATAACCCCCATCAGTGACTGAGATAAGGCACATGTCGCTCTTCCGCTGGTCCAAAATTTCGGCTGTGATGCCGGTGGGACACCCATTTATTTTGGAAGAGTTTGCATAGGGCCGACCCTCTTAACAATCAAATTTGATCTTACCTCAAATATTTCATTATAGGAGGTTGTTTTGATGTTCAAATATCTTAAAAATCTCGATATCAAGATTTATCGCCATGAAAAAAAAAAAATTTTAAAATTTTTAAAATAATATATTTTATAACATATTTTTAAACCATCAAATTTCAAGATTTTCAAATTTTTATATATCTATCAATGTGCACTACTTTTGAAGCTTTAAATTTTATAAATAAATATGAAAATATATTTTAAGACTATCATAAATATTTACATGATTGAAACCATATTTCTCGATACTATTTGAAGGTAGGTTCTAATCTGATTGTTTAAAGCCTAGGCTCAATACAAACCGTACCCATTTATTTTAGTAAAAAGGGATTTTTTTTTTTTTTGAAGGATTGTGTATAATAGAGACTATTTATCTTTGGGAAAAGTTTACATAGAGCTTAGGCTCTAAACAATTTAATTAGCGCCTACCTCAACACTTTCACTAGAAGAGGTTGTTTTGATACTCAAATATCATCAAATTGATCATCTCGGCATCAAGATGCATGGATACGAGAAAAACATAGATTTTAAGTTTTGAAAATAGTGCATCTTGCAACACATTTTTTGACCATCAATTTTTAAGATTTTCCAGTTGTCATATATCTGCTCGATCTACATTATTTTTTACGCTTTAAATTTTATAAGTAACGATAAAAATATAATTCAAGGCTATCACAAAAACCTTTCAGTATTGAAACCATATTCTCGACACTATTTGAAGGTGAGCTCTAGTTTGATTGTTTATAGCCTCGACACTATACTAACCCTACCCTTAATTTTTTGTATATGAAAGTCACAATCCGTCTTACTCATTAGATGTCAAATTGGATGATGGTTTGGGATATACCATAAAGTCGAGATTGTTTTTGGAGTGTTGTATCTATTCAATGACACTTTTACCGCAAGCTATTTAAGAGACTTCCATGTACTGAAAAAAAAGGGATAAGTCTATATAAGGTTCCAACATTAATATGTTGGCAACCTTAAAATGTAGAATTACAGATGCACCTCAAAAATCTATCGGAAAGGTTGTTTTAATGTTGAAAAACCCTTTAATTGATCATCTCGACACCAAGATATATGAATATATCAAAAAAAGGGTTTTTGAATCCCAAAAATAGTGGACCTTGCAACACATTATCTAGACCGTCAATTTTCAAGATTTTCATTTGTCTATAGATCTCCTTGATTTCAACCATTTTTTAGTTTTAAATTTTCTAATTAAATATGAAAATAGATTTTAAGATAATCCTAAGAATTTTCCACAACAAAATTATATGTTATGATAAAATTTGAAGGTTCTCCTTAATTGTGTTGTTTAAGGTTGGAACCTTATAGAAACCGCACCCA